GACAATCATATTTAATGTGAAACTTCAGAGCCTCCATATCAAGGCCAAGGAAAAGACTGGGTAATAAGAATGGCTATCTTGTAAGGAAGAGATAAATGGTCACAATTTGAGGATAGTGGGGTTATCCAAAGTAAATATGAGGCTATATAGACAAACCACTAGAACTATTTCTATATTTTTAGTAAGATTGCAAATAAAGGCCAATACACAAACAAAAATATTATGAGAAAGGGATGTATCTTTCTGCGATTTGGAAAAATCAACTGTCCCAGAATAATTTTTGGAGGACTCTGTTCAATCCTCCACTAATTTGTAAAGTTTCCTTTTTTTCCCATATTTTGAGGGCCCATATGTGCTTACAATTCTGGGCTCTGTGGGTTTTAAAAACCAAAATGTCTAAGAATGTTAAATATTGTGGAGATGTGATTTCTGTGAGAATTCTCTTAAACTGTTAAAAGTTCTGATAATTAGCATAGCCACTTTGGAGAGAGTAATCAGGTAGCATTTTGCTAAACTGGAAAAGGATACACTTTCTTGCCCAAATGACTTCACTTGTTTATAACTTAGGAAAAAAAAAAAAACTCATTCATGTGCATGATAGGCAAGCACAAATATATTTATTGTACATTGTTAGCAAAAGAAAAAAAAATGGAAGAAACCCAAATGTTTACCAATATAAAAATGCCTAGTGGTATGGTTCTATGTTGGAAGACTATAGACCAGTTAAAATGAATGAGCCTCATCTACAGCATCATGGATAAATAGCTCAAAAACAGTATGATAAGGAAAAACAATGCAAACATTTATTTACAAAAGAATACCACTGTTTAAAGGAAAATGCAAAGTATACATCTTACTTTACCTGCATAGCTCTTGAGGTAAATGTGTAGTAATGCTAACATCATAACCAATTTTGTAGCTCTTTCAGGATGAAAAGAAAGAACAAGCATTTAATAATATTTTTGTTTGTTAAAAAATGTGAAGTAAATGTTGCAGGTCGCTAACCACGGTTTATTTTAGATAGCCAATACATAGTGGATATTGCGCATTACATAATCTCTAAGTAGTTTTTAATTTGAATTTTATACTCTGAGCTAGACATACTACCCTGATGGCATGCCCCAGCGTGCTTTTATCCCCTGCTACCCTGCATCACATGCTCACATACCACCCACCTATGGCAGGACCTTAATTTTTTTTAAATATCTTTTTTAAAAATTTGTTTTTATATGGTGCTGAGGATTAAACCCAGTACTTCACACATGTGGGGCAAATGCTCTACCACTGAGCCACAACCCCAGCCCAAGATCTTCATTTCTAAAGATCAGTTTCCAGATAAAAGGAAGTTGAGTTTAAAAAAGTTAATTTTTATAATAATTTGACACTTTGTTCATATTTATTATTTTTTAACCTTGATTTTAAATAATATTTGCTGTAGAAGTTAAAATTTTTAGGTTTAGCATTAGTCAGGCATTTGAATATTGGGTATGCCACTTACCATCTCTGTAGTCTTGGGCAAGGCTTATAGATTCTCTGGTCCTATGTTCACTTACATGGGATGTGGTAATAATCATTTTATGTCTCACAGGGTTGCTTAAGAAATGGTTTAGATAACACATAGGGAGCACTTAATAAATGTTTGCTATTGGGCTAGGGGTGTTACTCAGTAGTGGAGAGCATGCCTAGCATGCACAAGGCTCTAGGTTCAATGCCCAGCATACACACACACACACACACACACACACACACACACAATGTACCATTTGTTGTTATTATTAGTAGAATTATTATTACTATGGCTATTACTACTATCACTTAGAATTAAACAAAACATGTTTTGTTAATTTTAAATGGGTATCAGTTTGATATATAAAAATCATAAGGAAAGGATGATCAGTCAATTAACTTACATCAGGTAGGAAAATTTTATATTTACTTCTTTAGAACTTCAAAATGACACTTATTGTAAGTGTCTGTAGTAGCTTACTATGTTTATACAATAGTTAATTTAGTACCAAACTAATTAGTAAATCTGGCATCTTCCAAAAAGGGGTTGAAAAGAAATCAAAGTGATTTGATTAAATTTTGCATTTTCAACCAGCTGTGTTTGCTGAAAATATGACTAGCAAGAAATACATAGAAGTGTATTTTGGGTGGCAAGCATAGCTTTGTTTGTTTTTTTTTCCTACTAAGCTGAAAAGAGTTTCATTTCTTCTTGCCATATCTTTAGAGGACATTTTATAAAAGAAAAAAAAAGTATTTAGGGAAGAATCTTGGACATTGTTTTATAAACTACTTTCCAGATATTCTGCTTACAGATTCACAAGGTTGTTCTTGAGCCTATTCCTTAATGTTTTGTTGTTAGAATAATCTGGAAAGAACATAAAGTAAAGAAGATAACTAGGAAGATGGAGAACCACTGATCTACAAAACAAGGCAGTGTGACTCAAAGTCTTATCTAAGGATCAGCATCATCTGCATTCCCTAGAAACTTGCTAAAAATATAGAATTTCAAGTCTCACCCCAGATTTACAGAATATTCATTTGAACAAGACCACTGAGTGGCTCCTATGTGCATTAAGTATTTTTAATTATTTTTTTACAGTTGCAGATGGGCACAATACCTTTGTTTCATTTATTTATTTTTATGTGGTGCTGAGGATCAAACCCAGTGCCTCACACATGCTTGGCAAGTGGTCTCCTACTTAGCTACACTCCAACCCCAAGTTTTAAGAAGTATTAAGGCAGCTGAGCCTGCTGACGTATGTGGATGGCTGAGTTAAGGCTGTAGTTAAAGGCATATTCCTAGCCCTAATCCCCTCTACTTAACCAAGCAGGCTTCAATCTTAAATTGGTTTTCTTGGGATGCCTCCCTAATGGAAAGAAAGTAATAAAGAAATATTTCTTCATTACTATGTATTAAGTTAAATATGAAAAGAAAATTAGACATCTCCAATGGTCTAAAAAATTTTTTCTAGGTAGATGAAAACTTATTCCATTATAGTTTCTACAAACCAAGGTTTTCAACTCCAGATGCAGTTTTAGATCTATCTGGGAAGATTTAAAACATAGTGGTTCCCCATTAGATCTACTGAGTTAAAAGTTCTGGGGGTAGAGCCCCAATATTTTTGTATTTTAATGCTCTCCTGTGGATTTTGGTATACAACAGTTTTGAGAATCACTATGGATTAACTCTTAAGTTTACTGACTTCTATATATCACCATCTCATTAAATCCAAATTAAGTTCAGTCAGTCACTTTGGCTTTCTAAAAACAATTACTAATGACTTCAATTATACTAAGCTGTTTATAAGGTAAACTAAATATTTAGTACATGGTATATCTTTATTCATTTCAATTCTTCCCTATTTTATGATAACAGTTAATTATTTATGTTAGTAAAGGAAGTAACAGTAAGCATGTACAATAATAGTCCCCAAACAATATTAACATTTTACTTTATGAAGTAGAACACTAATTTCATAGTGTTTTTGCCTTGTCATATCTTTGACAAACATAAAAAATAGCTTGTATTCCCTAAGTGAATCCAAGCTGTAAGGTAGAAAGAGATATCCATAAAGGTGTTCCTTGGCAGAAAGAAATCAGTTGTTATGAAAAACTCACTGAGTAGATAAAGTCCATTGAAATTTTCTGGGCAAAGGGCCAAAATTAAATTTCAGTTGAAATGGTACACAGATTGCATAGTGGTCTTCAAACATGAGCTGAAAATTACTAGGAAATCAAACAATTAAGTGAAATGGTTGGGCATGTAACTTAGCTGAAGAAAACAGGCACGTGTCTTGAATGAAATGAGCAGCCTTACCTCTACATCACTGCCAAATATATATTTTTAATTCCAGAAAGTACAAAAAATTGGAGTATTATGCAGGTTAAACTTCATGTAAAATAGGTTTTATTCATATCTTGAAAATAAAATCTTAAATTATAGAATACCCTTGTGAATTGAATTTGGTTGTTCCCAAGTAAGTCACAGATTATTGGAATAAGACATTATTAGCCTACTGTTCATAATGGAATTTTCAAGTACAAAGATAAAATACAAATGTTATCCCAATCACCAAACCTTTGAGTTACCGTGCTTTGCTGACAGGGAGAATCCGTCCAGACTAAAGAAAGACTTCTGTAAGCCTGTCTTTCTATGATCAGGAGAGGCCTTTGAATGCTGATGATTTAATGTTTAATTTATGTCATTAGGTAATATTGACATAAAATTCAAGAGACCTAAGGCTACAAATGATCTTACAAAAATAAAAATAAAAGACTCTTTTCTACCAAGCTTAGAATCTTTCTGAGACCAAATCTTTAAGTTAAATGAGACTGTTCACTGGCCTCTGAAGAAAATTTATAATATTAAATTGTATCTAAATATAAAACCATTATATATTTATGATTAAATGCTTAATAAATGATGATGATCATTTAATTGAGAACAATCCCATTATGTTCACATGATAAACACATCTGGTTTATTGGTCACCATTTTACCATTTGGAAACTTAGGAATAAATCTAGTAGGAAAATAACAATGGTAGTAGACAGGCATGGTGGACTATAACAATCAGCTTAAATAGGTAGGGTTTGGGTAATTATAGTTTGCTTTGTTCCTTTATAGTTTCCAGACAAAGTAGAACTACTTTGCTTCCATTTACTTTTAATACAATTTTTATTTAAAAAAGAATACTTAATCAAACATTTAAGGGACACAATTATGAACTCTTTGAAGATAGAAAAAATTGCTCAGGGTAGATACTGATTATAGGCTTTCATAGTAACTATCTGTATGACCTCAGGTTAAGTACTTCACTATTAAGAGAATATACCCCATATTTAAAATGTGGAGGTTTGGCTAGATGTACTCTAATGTCATTATCATTTTTTAAAATACTCTGTGATTCAAATTCTAGTTTAGCCATGATGTGGTATAAATAATAAGCAATAAATAGATTTCAATTTTAAATTTTGAATTCAAGAATACTTACAGTTAAGGCTGTTGATCCTGGAGGCCCCATGTCTCCCTAAAATAGATGAAAGAAAGTTAAAATTATCAATAATCCCTCTTTTGCACATTATTTGTAAGTTTCTGAGTGTATAGAAGCAATACCTGTAGATAAATATTGAAGGACAGAAAAACTGAATTTATCTTGATAAAAGTCTCTGCAGGATGAAAAATGTGTGTCCTTTAGTTCTCATGATATAAAAATTGCCTTATGCACCCACATGCTTTTTGCAGCAGCCGAGATTGTTTTGAAAAGCTAAAATAATCTAATTTTCTGTTCTTTTGACTACTAATTCAAAATTAGGAAAAAATATCTTTTCAAATATGGTTACTTGCCAATGGAGCAGCTGGGAAGTGTCACAGTGACAGATAATTTTTCTGACAAAGTTAGTATAAGGATCAGCAGAAATAATAAGTGGATCTCCCCTCTTCATGCCTCCAGCTGCAAGAAACAGTTCTCACGGCCTCTTCTAAGCTCTGCTGAATTGGCATTGCCCTTGCAAGAGGCAACTGTAAGAGGCTCTGCCTATATTTAAGTGGCTCTGCATATATTTATGTATATTCAAATGATGAAATTGCTTTTCTGACCTATATGAATACAAATTTTCAGGTGTATATGTTAATAAGGCATTAAAAATCTTTTAAAAAATGGTTAATTTAAAAGTTCACTATTTTCCACTGTGTCACTTCTGTGCTTATTGTCTCAGGAACTCTATTTCATAAGAACTCTCAATCATTCTGACTGACCATCCTTGCTTATGGTTCTTGTTTAGTTGAACATTATGGGGTTCATAAGTCTATCCTGTATGGCAAAGGGCACTAGGATTTCGTATTCTCCTTTTGAGAGTAGCCTTAACTTCTTTTTTTTTTCTCACTAAATTTAGCTAACTTAGAAGTCAAGACTTACTAAATTGTGTTTCATTTTTTGGTGTGGGGGGGAAACTGAATTAAAATAATTGATAATTGTTAAGGGATATTGCTGTAGCTTAAGTTAGTCACTAAGAACAAATTTACAAGATCACCTTCGATGCAGAGATAAATGTTGAAGATAGATAAGGATTTTTAAATGTGCTGAAAGCCGAGAACAAAATACAGTGTAAAACATACACATTAACAATTTTCATCAAGTTGAGGTCACCTAATGACCTTATTCAACACGACTCTTGCTTGTACTATTCCTTAATTCTCTTTTCAAGGTTACTGCCAATAGACCATTAACAAATAGCGTATGGGAAAATGTGGCAGGAAATGGAGCATTTAGACTAAGACTGAGATTTCAAGTTAGATTCTTTACTCCCAAAGCCACCTGCTTCACAGTTATGGTGGCAGCTCAGTATTGTTGGCTGAGTTCCCCAATATAAGACACCTTTGCTAATTTAAGATTGACTACAGCATGCTGTTAAGCAAGGGTAAGAAAAGGGAAATCTTATAAACACCAGTTAAGTCAACTAGCAATTGCACATTTAGTCTCCTCAAACTAATTAAATGAACCAAAAGGCTTTGTTATTGTTGATATGCTTTTAATGTCTTTGGTTAGTTTTAAAATGTTTTTGGCCATTAAATGGTATCAACAAGAAGTCACTGCACAGGTTTCTGATGTTTTCTTAAGAAAAGGTTGACACATTTTTGGTAATACAATACCTTTTCTCCTTTTGGACCAGGTGGACCACGAGGACCCAAGTCACCCTTCAAACCCTACACAAAGAAGATAACCAATATGATTTTTTAATACAGGTCATAGAAAGATTCAATTTCAAACAAGTCATTAGTAACAAAATAAATCATAATTTACTGAACTCCCAAATCCCATTCTTCCTTTTGTGGTATAGAGAAAAATAAAGACAACTGGCACTAAAATGATAAGCAACATCTGCGCTGTGGTGGGTACAGATACATTAAATCAGCACGAGTTCTCAATACTGCATATTTGTGCAACTTTGCTTCCTGCTAAAATGACATTAATTCACCATCTGGGAGAACATCATTTAGATCTATATGAGCTTTTAAGTATCCACTTTGGATTAAATTTGTGGATGTTGTAAATACCTCTGATTTAGCATTGATTTGGCCTTTATAAAGCTTGCCAAAATATTCAAGAGTTAAATCAAAAACATTTTTACATCTCTATCAAGAAATTTAATTGTGGGGAAAAAGGAATGAAGGATGCATTCTTTTTCTGTCAATCACAATGCGGAGCTAAAATGTAATCCCTTTCCTGTTTTAAAGTGTGCTTTAGTGTTCTAATTCCTTTCTTTTTTAAAACCTGGATTTATAAAGATATCAAGTGGGACTACAAAAGACATAGACAGAATATCAGATAAATATTTTCATGAATCCTCTGGACTCTTTGGTGTTTTCATGGGTATTTAGTTGATCTGACTTGGAAATGACAGCTTTCGTGAATGCCACAATAGATTTCACTGGAGGAGATCAGTTCTACAGCTGAAAGTATTCACAGTGTAAATGGAAAGAAAGTTAGATAGACATATCCTCACTGCGTGGTAAATAGAAAGAAAAATCTTCCTTCATCCTTTAATTTAACACATTGGGTGAGTGAAGAACAATGATGGAAAAAGGAAATATTCTGAAGCCACACTACACATAGTAAATCCAAGTGTCTTACTGTTGCTCACTCAGGGATCCAGCTATTACTACCCTGACATTTTGTAATGAATAAATAGTGCCAAATGCCAGAATATGTAGCTACTCAATCCAAAACCAGAAATGGATAGAAGGAAACAAAAGAAAACCAGATACTTAAAATAATCTTGTTGCAGAGAGCATGTGGAAACTTGAATTTTATACATTAAAAAAAAAGTTTTAATGAATGAAAACAACATCTAACTGTCCAAAAGATTTTGTATAGTTGTATAAATGCTTTCTGAACAAAAACCATAGTTATATATATTTTTTCTATCATTATTCTGGAATAGTTACAAAAATAAAGAGTAAAAAATAAATAAATATATTTAAGATTTATTATTATTATTTGACATATCCATTGCTTCCAAAATCATATATGTTTTCAGAGTAAAACTTGGCAACAGCATACCTAACTACATGGGGGAAGACAATCGTCATTTCTGGGAATAGATTTTTATCATCCATTCATCCATTTATCCAATAAACATGTACTATATCACTGGTGTGCACTCACTCTTCTAGACTTCAATCTGCACTGTCCATTACAATACCTCAAGCACAGGTAGTTCTGAACTCTTAAAATGGGACTATTTGAACTGAGATGTGCTATGAAAGTAAAATATCATTAGGTTTCTAATATTTGCTGTAAGAATGTAAAATACTTCATTAATAAATTTTATATCAATGATGTGTTGAAATGGCAACATTTGAATATAATGAAATAACTGAAATATATTTTTAAAAGTAGCTTCAACTGCCTTATATTTTTTTTGCCTTTTCTGATATGGCTGCTAAAAAATGTAATATATGTTTGTCTTGAATTTGTGGCTTTCATTATATTTCTATTGGATAATACTGTCTTAGAGAAATAAAAAGAATCAGAAGTTGTTAAATATTCTCTCCATAACCTCCTTTCAATCAGGTTTTCCTCAGCCCTCTTGTCAATGAGCTCTAAACTTCACCCTGCTTTCTGTCCTTGGCATGCTCAGGCCAGTTATAGCAAGAATCTTCCTAAGTCCATTTAGGAAAAATCTCCCACCCTTGATATCTGTTTGTCATCCTCTTTCTTTGCTATCTAAGTTACTGGCCTTTGTTTAGTAAGAATTTTCTTATATCAGGTCATCCAAGAATCACCCCACCCTTGATATCTCCTCTTATGAAGTTTCTATCCACTGGCCCCCTTTTCTCTACTTATTAACTATGGAATGTCCCCTTGCCCTTGTTGTATTTGGATTTGAGCCCAATCTCTCTCCTTTACTGAAGTTCCCCTTCTGCAATAGTCTTGAATAAAGACTTTCTTGCCATTAAAAAAATAAACAATAGAATAACTTTTTTTCTTTAACAAAATCAAGGTTCCTGCCCTCTTGGAACTCATAGGAGGAGGGAGACTGACAACAAACAGGTCCACAGGCTGACTGATGAGTGAAGGGGAAAGCTGCTACTTCAGGTAGGGTGGTCAGAAACAGCCTCTGTGTTCAGGGGACATCTGTTATTTCAGAAGAATCCAGCCATACAATGATCCTGGGGAAAAGTATGAGTGTGGTAGGAACAGCAGACCAAAAAATCCCCAAGGTGGAAGGAGTGTCACTGGCATGCAGGTGAAGAAGAATAGGGTTGGTCATAGATCATGGCACATAGAGAACTGCAGGCCATGGTGAGGAAGAGGAAATTTTAAAAAGTGCAACAGGAAGCCATTTAAGTGTGTTGTAATCAGGAAAATAACATGGTGTTACAATTTTAAAAGTATTGCTTTGGCTATAAGGTAAAATGTATACTTTAGGCAGCAAGAGAGCAGTAAAGTGGTTATGACAGCTTTCTGGGCAGGAGAGCAAGATGGTTGGGATGGGTGGTAACAGTGGAGATGGAGAGCCATGTTTAGAATGGGAACATACTGGCAGGCAGGACTGGTAGATGTGGAGGCAGTGGACTGGGAAAGGGAGCTGGGTTAAGTAGCTGGCTGGGAGGTTGTGCCACTTATTGTGCTAAAAATTTATTTAAAAGCAGTTTTATGTTTTCTTGCTCATGCAAAACTATACAGAGAAAGGACAAACGTGACAAAAGAAATAGCTGATAAAAACCCTGAGATGCATTTATTTAACAAAAATCAGAAAATCTCAAACATGTAAGACTAATCAATATATTCCTTATAAACATGAATATGAAAACATAATTCCTAAAAATGGAAGAAAGCAGTAAGTACAACATTTAAGAAAATTACTAACTCTGGAGTGGAGGTGGGATGGGAGAACCACACTGGCAGCTTTGAGAGGATGATGATTTTTAGTTCTTAAAATGATTTCTGAATTTGGTGATGTTCCAGCTATAACTATTATTCATAACCATTACATGCATTCCATATATTATTTTGTAGGCATAAAATAATACATTAAAAATTTTAAAGGTTTTTTTCCTGATAAATCAATCCTAAGTATAACTTCCAGAGAAAAGACTTATTGGTAGTTGACTCAGCTAACTTTCTTGGGTTGAGTGAACCATGGCCAGGCATGGGGTGAGGAATAACATTTACAAGACAATGCAACTACTCAGTATCATCATAGATTTCTACAGGGGGTGTGAAGAGAGCAGCTCCCCAGGATGCTCAATTCTCTGAGAGGTGTTGAAGACATCAGAAACAGGAAGGTCAGGAGAGTCAGTAGAGAAATAGCATTTTATGTATTATCTTAGGTAGTTTACTTAAGCATCCCTATAAAATAGGTAAAAATAATAGTTATTTTGAATAGTTCTTATGAGAATCATGTTGTAAAAACATTTAGTACATGGCAGGTGCCTAACAAATGTTGCTTTTTATTCTTTAAGTACAAGTTTAAGGGATAATTAACCGTTCTTTCTGTTCTGTTTTATACTCAGTTTGATGGATAGGTAACAACTGTGCTTTAACTCACATAGGTTAAAATGCAACTGAGAAACACTGTATTCATCAAGCTTCTACTTTCACGGCCATTGAAGTGGACCCATGTAACTCATGTCCACCTGTGACAAAGTACAATGTTGTTAAGGCCATGGCATTGTAATAAGCTCTAAGAAATAAATCAGTGATGCTTTTCTCAGGGACAGTTTTTCTCCCTGGTGAAACTATCAATGGTTATTGAGTGCTGGGGAGAAAAGGCACAGTACTCTCCAAACAGCATAAAGCACCAAAGGGAACAGACACTAAAATTAAGATGGAATAAGATGGGTATCTACTACGAAAGTTTTAAACAAAATTCATGTACATAAAGATACTTAAAAGCACAGCAGCTGATTCTGCATGTGTAATGTGGAGATAGAAACTCTGATCCAAAGGCAAATGGAAGCTGAACTGGAATTACAAAAGCAAGTAGACAATAAAATTTTTACTGCAAGAACTACTTCTCATGAGGTGCAGCATCCTTAAAAACCAGATGATACAAAATAATGTTATTTGTGGAAATTTTTAACCCATTAATTAACTTTGCCTCAGGTTCCACTAACTGCACCTTACTTCCTGCATTGGCAACAGCTGTCGCCAGTGGAGTTCTGGGTTTGTAATTTCAATATTTTGTATTTAGTAGCACAAGACTGCATTGGTATAAGGAGATTAACATTATTATTTTAGAAACATCAAATGATATTCTGATAAGGGATGTTTGAAAGACCACAGTAAAGATGCAGAGAAGACACTAAACTTAATGATGAAAATCTACTTTTCTAATATTACATAACCTTACAAAAATCAAATAAATGAAAAGATTTTTCTATTAGAGATAAATGTGTTGTGTTTAATCCAGTTTTTAATAACAGCAACTGTTTTATAGCTCTTTACTATATGGAAGACATTGTTCTAAATGCTTAATATATGATAAGTCTTTGGATCCTCCCAAAAAAATCCTGTGAGGTAAGTACCATTAATATTAACATATCATTTTGCAAATAAAGACAAAAAGAATAAATAATGTACTATGCCAGCTATATCATTATTAGTGCAGAGCTGGAACTTGAATCCAGGTAGCCTGGTTTCATGATGATAACTATGCAATACTCCTCAAGTCTGTTCTAAGATATCACTTATTGAATGCATCTCATATTATCAAAATCATTTAATTGTACACTAGACTATGTATCAAGATGAAGTTTTAAATTTTAAAATATAAATTCTAGCAATTCAATTTTTTTACAATTTCAATGTATGTTTGATATACTTTATTTAAACTATAAGGAAACTACTAATACCATAGAGAGCAAGAGAGAGCTAGAGAGAGCAAGCGAGCAAGAAATGATTAGGGGCTGTTATAGGCATTTAATATTATTTGGTAAACCTCAAGGATGCTAAATGTTCTGCTTTTGAAGGACAGACCACATGGCAAAGAATTGCCTTGCCCAAAATGCCAAGAGTGCCCTATTGAGACTGAACTTCTATATACCTCTCTTTAATTAAGGTTTATATTTTCTGAAGTAATCTGGTCCATTTTATGGGAAAACTAGCATAGAAAAAATTATTATAATATACATTGACATTCAGGCTTATGTGATATATTACAATAAAGATTATTAAAAAGGGCATAGAAATATTAAATCATTCCAACTTATTTTGACTTAGAAAGTAGTTCAGAAAGAAGTGAGCTGGCCCATCAAGCTTGTTCACTATGCACTCTAATAGAATATTTTTGAAGTGATAATCTCCATCATGACTTGACTTCATTTCAGATTAAAATTGCTGTTTTAATAGTTTCAACCCATATGGATGTATACCTGTGCATACTGACAGAGTGAACTGTCATAAATGCTGAATTACTTTAGTCTGCAGAGGCTGTTATTTATTTTAGCATTAAAAAATAGGCAATGATGTATAGCACAATATAGTCAGGAAAAGACTTTTCTGTCAAACACTGAGGTTAAAGGCTGATTTTACTATTTTCATTTTTTTTTAGTTGTAGATAGACACAATATCTTTATTTTACTTATTTATTTATTTATTTACTTATTTACTTATTTATTTATTTATATGTGGTGCTGAGGATAGAACCCAGTGCCTCACATGTGTAAGGCAAGCACTACACCGCTCAGCCCCAGCCCCAGCCCCAGCCCCTATTTTATTATTTTCTAAAATAAAGTTGCTTAATTTGCTAAGCCTTCATTTGTTGCCTCTGAAAATAAGGATGTTATTGCCCCCTGTTCTAGCTACCACATAAAGCTGAGCAAGGGCTGAACTTTGAATTTCTTGTATAAACAATTTATATGCTACAACATGATATCAATATTTCCAGTACTGATGGTACAATAATACAACATAAGACTCTTTAATCAAGGGATAGTAGAGGAGAAAGAGGAGAAATTTCATTACTTTTTCTTACTTCTTGATCATGACTCCTGAATATCTTTGGCAAAATTAAGCAAAGGAAAATAACACCATCTACATATCAATTAAGTAACCAAGTGAGAAAAGTTAATGTCCTTTGTCATGCTTTATAGTGTTCTTAATGAGCTACATTAAACAATTATGGTGCTAAAGAAATAGCACCTCTGTGTTTGGGGCCTGTGAAGGACTCTTTCAGGATCCCTCCTGGGGAGAAAAGGTCATAGTCACAGGGCCCACTGGGCTCTGGGCCCTCCCAGCAAGTTTGGTTTTGTTCAGATAGGAAGTTCAGACAGTGGCAGCCAGAGAATTTGGACTTTGTGGTAGGTACTCCAACATACTATGTATCAACTGATTAATTCTAAAAGGCCTATCAGCTTCCTTTCAGACAACAAAGAAAATTTCCTAATCTTTAAATTCCAGTTTGACTCAGATGTTTGGAAAAATTCTTTCTCTAATATTATTTTAGCTCTAACATTAGTTTTACAAGCTTTAAAAAATTTTTGTTTTGCTTCTGTATCTGAGAGAGCTCGCATGCACAGAAAGTGATTTTTCTTTACAACACTGCAGTTTATCTTTTAGATGCTCTTATATTACTCACAAGTTAAAAATCTTTCCCATAAAGAATGGTCACAGTGTTGGATAATTTTTGAGTTTTCATTCTGGTCAAGTGCCAAATTTATATGTATGTATCAATGATATATAGATCCATCCATCTATCTACCTACCTACCTACCTACCTATCTATCTTATCTTTCACCTCTGCAATATCTCTGTGTACCTTTCCCTAAACATTACTAAATACTACTGTAACAGGGACTTTAAGACTCTTCATTTAGGTCTGCAAATGTCCAATGAGTAACTAAAAGCAGAATTAAAATCTTGGCATGTCCACCTCCATTTTGCATCTGTCTCCTTTGCTCTGAGTCACCTTGGATTCCAGGAACAATAGGTCTGATCCTTAAACATCCTGTGATGAGCTGAAATTACCAGATAATAGCAATGTTAAGGGCCTGCCTGTACAGTCCTGAGATGATGGGCAACCAAATCCCTGTTTGGCCAAGCCTGCGGGATGATGCATATTTCCCCTCATCTATATAATCTGGAAGCTCATGTCAGTATCCTTACAGTCAGGGTTGAGGATGTGGGTGCCCCTGTTTTCCTGGTATAGCTACAATGATTAAAGCTCCCTTCCTTCTCTTAACCATTACTTTTTTTCATTTGTTTTTTGGGGTGAGTGGCTGTACCTGATTTGTTGGGACCCCAGAGTAGGACCTTTGGCATAGGATTCTGGTAACACCAGGAATTCTAAGACATAGTCTTTGATTTTAGGGAGAAACAATAGAAAGAACAGAAAACCAGGCTAAGGCCCAAACTACCCATTTTAGGACACATGTAAAATGAATCTTCATTTAGACACAGCTTGGATCCTATCTCCCTTGTGTTCATAGGAAGAACTGATATTCTCAAATGCAGTACTTCCTACACTCTGGATCCTGCTACTTTTCTGGTTTTATTTTCTCCACAGCACCTTATATATTGCAAGCATTCAAAAAAACCAGAATGAAGCTTCAAATCTCATCATACTTTTCAAGTTTGGAATCTTAATAATCTCTTTATATAAGATCAGAGGACACTTTCATCATGGAGAAGTCAGTCAGTCTAAAGTCCAAGTCTATCATTTTATAGACTCTGAGAAGTGATTTGCTCAGCTAGTGGTAGAACTGGGATACAAACTAGGCGCTGGCCTTCTGCTCCAGAACCTCTAGTAATGGGTAAGGAGGCAAGTCTGCTAGTCTGTTTAAACATGTGTCAGTGTCCAGATGTGCTAAGGTGGAGAGAGTGACTTCCCAGATAGAAGCCATTGGTACTAGAGCCCATTCTTGGATGTGGGAAAATCACTTCAAAGGAGCAGAGGAACAGGAATGAGTGTTATATTTTAGATGTGAATAGAGCTTTCTGGAAACTAAACAAGGTAGTAAAACTATGTATGAGAGGGTGATAGGATGGGAAATTAGAGCCTCAGGCCAGTGTTGGTTACAAGGGTTAACTTCTAGGGACATTCTTCCACAGGAGCTTCCCTCAGGGAGCCCTCTTAATCCACCACTAGCCCCAAGGATTGGTCTTCAGCTTTGCTTCTCATTGTAATGATCTTCTTCATAGAAGATGCACAGAGGCATTAGGGAACCCGATACAGTCCTAGGTATTATTTCCTTAGCTTATTCATAGAGCAGGCAGGGTGGTCTTTTAGGTCTTATGTAAGTGAGATAAGGAAATCAAAATTAAAAAATAATTCTTATTTTGGATACTTCCCCCAGTAAAGTTAGGATGTCAATAGCAAATGGAGAGTTTGATGACTTTAAACGAGATTATATTTCAGAAGAAAGCTCAGATTCAGGCTATTATTCAAATTTCCTCCTAAAAACTAGGATGATATTCTGGAGGGGAAGAGGTGATGACTGTCTTGAGGGAAAGGGAAGGAGATGACTGGGAAGCAGGGATGTCACTGGCTGTACATTCCAAGGTCAGGAACTGGTGGTCAGGGAGCAGTCCAGATACAGAGGTCTCCCTACACTTCTTCTCTCTAATGGGGATTTGGAGAGAGCAGTCAGGGTGACGGTACAGGCCCCTACAGAATATATGTAAGAAGAAAGTAAATAGAGAAAGGAAGACTTAAAAAAATACACCAGAAAGAGCAAATACAAAAGAGCTGCTAAAGGTAAGCACATATATGAAATATATAAAAGCCAAATAATTAAAAATAAAAACTCTGCTGCTAATATGCCATGAAAACAAAACAAAACAAAAACTACAAACACTGCCCCTTCACCCAAATCCAAAAAGCTGCCTTGATTCTTAATTTTGCTCCACTGTGGCTAGTTCTGCCAAGGACAGTCAAATCTTAATGGCACTAGATAAACTATTTCAGTGGCAAAATGTAAACAGAAGATTAGAAAAAAGACAGTTAGGCTTACATCTTGTCCATTAAGGCCAGCCAGTCCTGGGTCTCCTTTTGCTCCTTGTTCACCCTAGAAAGAAACAATTTATACAGTGAAAATGTTACATCCTTTGCTAAGAAAAAACAGGAGAGTTACATTATTTGGATATTTATAACCAACGAGTAGTTTGTTAATCCCTTAAAAGAAACATTTATTCAATAACAATCTAGGTTCTAAAACCAAAAAGAAGTTTAAAGGTTCAAAGAAAAGCTGAAAAAAATTGATGAAAGAGTGGAACTAGAACAAGATTTATTTATGTTCCTCTATAAGGGACAGAAATTTTTGGAGGGTAATTTGGCAGTACGTATCAAGGATTTTTAAGCACTTTTTAGTGAAGTGCTTTCACTTTTAAGAATGTATCCAAAAGAAGAATCAGAGGTGAAAAGTTTAAGGCACGAATACATAGGGCACCATCCTATTTATTAGGAAAAAAGAAAAGTATCCTAAATGTCCAATAAAGAGAACTAATTAAATAAATTATGGTATATATATACAAGGGACAGACCATAATACAGCCATTAAAATCATGCTTAGAAATTTTATAAGAAAATTCTCATGGTTTAAAAAGAAAAATTTAATTAATCAATAGAAAAATTTAGTGAATAAATGTTAACCATACCTATTTTTATTATTTTAAAGTTATAAATATTCAAAATGGCTACTAATGCCATTGTGGATGATACATGCCCATATTGATTTTTATTTTTTAACTTGGTTTCTGTCTGAACGGTGTACACATTTATTGGCACACTCTGCATATCTGGAGAACATTTAAAGTTCTTAGAAAATACCTGTCTGCCTATCCATATATCTGTTCACCAGTATATCTGTCTATCTATAGATCTTAAAAATAATATTGAGAAAATACAAGCCTAAAATTAAAAGTAGTTTAATATTTTAAAATTTCTTTCTAGCTATAAACATATATTATCTGCACAATCAGTAAATATTTAAAAATAAAATATTATATATATAAAGGAGTCAACCAAGTCTATTATACTGTGTATGTGTGTGCATGAATATACATGCTTTATGCCACTAAGGTAATTTTTATTCTCTCTTTTATATTTTCTGTTTTCTTTTGCATTGAACATTATTATTGCTACTTGCAAAATGTTATCAAAAAGCAAGTATCCCATTTTAAGGAAGAAGGCATCAGATACTGAAACATTCTACAGAAATATGTGTGCATAGTCCCAATCGCCTAAGAACATATATAATTATTATAATATTGACAATACAAGAAGTAAAAAATAACTTGATCACCAGAATATAAGAATATATATGCCTAAACAAAAAAATGACAAAATTATACAAATCATGTTCAGTGAAATAGTTACAATGAAGCTAAGGAGTTAGATCTGAAAACACAGGACCCAGGAGTTACTTTAGAGTTGTACCACCAGCAATATGTAGCTACTTAAATTGATTAAATAAAAATGTTAAAACTCAGTTCCTCAACTCTCCTAGCCATATTTCAGGAGACACGATTAGGACATTTCCATCTTCACAGAAAATTCCACTGAATAGTCGTGATGAAGAGGGTATCATTTAGGACCAAAAGCTGTTGGTAGAGATCAGTGGAAAAGTGTTTGCTTGCCTAGCGTGCATGAGGCCTTGGGTTCAACACCCAGGACCTCAAAAATGAAACAAAACAGAACTCAGAAGCAACATAACAACTAGGAAGCTCACAAGTGCACTAAATAATATATCTATATAGTTAGCAGCTGAGAAATAATACAGTGTATAAATGTTTTCATAAAAGATATTGAACACAAGTTAACAAAATGAAGTTTTTGATATATGAAGACAACAGTAATTCTATGGACAGCATTATTAACTTTAGAATATAATTAAAAATGAAGACACTCTTTATTTATAAATACTGATTCTGGGTTCAGGGGAGTAGCTTAGTGGTAGAGTATGGGTTTAACAAGCATGAAGCCCTGGGTTCAATCACCAGCACACACCCCACACAAATAATGGTTCCTATAGATGGAAAAAATGAGCTTTCTCTATATTAAAGGGCTATGTATCTATAAGGAGATATGCAAGCTTTTATGTGGTCAATTTTTTAAAGTTAAATAATAGCATATTGAATGGAGTTGATAGTCTGATGGGCTTTATGCTATATGGCAAGAGGGTAAGAGGTATGGCAGAAGGCTAAAGAAGAAAGACTCTGCTTCAAGTTGGTGACTAGAAAAAACCTACAATGGATCTTTTAAAGTGTAAGTTTTAATGTAAAAAGCAAACAGGTCACTGAAAGCGAGTAAGGTTCACTGAAAACAAGTTATTTACTCCATTATTATTATATTCATCAAACACATTTATAGTTTTCACTATGTTCCAGGCACTGCTACAGGCATCTTGAAATTCTATGACAACCCTGGATAAACACAGGATCACTATTTTCATTTTACAAATCAGGAAACAGAAGACAGAGACATTAAGTAATGTTTTCAAGATCCCCAATTCAACTCACTCAGTAAACAACCTGGGCTCTAAAACCATTAAGCTCACTTGTTTTTAAAACAGATCAGGGATAACCTGGATTTCTTCAAAGCAAGAGACAAAGTCTTTCAAAATGCCCTTCAGTGTAAGGAACAGAAATATAGTTGGGTAATATTATTTCTGAGTGTGAAACTGGCAGAGGAAAGTTACATAGTGAACATTTTGGTATCTATCAAACAGTCACCGATATCTAATGTTTCTTGAATATATACGTAACAGATTCATGATATAAAATATTGCAAAGGCTAAAAGAATACACTATAATAAAAATGAAATAAAATAAATATACAATCTTGCATTTAAGTTAATTCTAGAAGGAGTAAATAGCTGAATTAAAAACTTTAAAAAACTAGAAGAAAATATAGGTGAACATAGCTCAGAGCTTGGGGTAGATAATGCATCTCTGAGCATGGAACAACCACAAACAATTCAAAAGAGAGACTATTCACATGTACCCAAGGCAAAATTAAACTAAAAGGAAAATGATAAATTGGGAAAATCATATGGTAGATTAATAATTAATATTATTAATATGCAATGGGTTTTTATCATTCAGAAGAAAAAGAATAACATTTCAGTTGATTGTTAAGCAAATGATATATTAAGCAATTAACCACAAGATGTACAAAAGAAATGCTGGATGACAATATTAACTATAGTAATTAATCAGGTTTTATATTAGGATAGATGATGTGCAAGGATTCTTTATTTTAAATTCTATCACTCTTTGTGTTAAAAATAAATAAATAAAAGCAAAGTTTTGGGCATTCTATGTCCAGACAGACAAGAAAAAAAAATTCAAGTGTTGCATATTTAATAAATTCCACACAAAAGAAAGTTGATAATAGTAACCAGCTGTTCCTTTCTTTCCACTGAAGAGAAAATGAGTAAAAACAAAACTGCAGCATTAAAGATTTAAACTAGAATTAAAGAAAACTCACTTGACATGAGAGGATGTTTCAAAGTAGGATGCATTTAGATTGTTCCTGAATATCTGGATAAGTTCCAAAGGGGGAAATTTCAAAAATAAAACTGATAGAACATCTGTGGATATTTCTTTGGGAGTCTGTCGTTCTAGTCTGAAGGAAGCTTACATGCAATCTTAACCAAAAGACAGAGAATACATGGGAATTAGTTTATATTTAAGATATTCCAATTACCTGTTCATTCATGAAGGTAACTTTAAAACTTTACCACAATTTAATGACCTTCCAAACGTAATTGCCATGACTTGGCATACAAAATGCTACAGTCAGGTAAGTAGTAAAACTCTTTTACAGAGTTTGACTTAATCCCTTGTTATAATTAGTATAGGCAGTGATTAACATTTGTAATATGTATTTCAATAGATAATAGTATTTATTCTATATGCCTTACTGTATACCAGGCTGTGTGCTAAGCACCTTACATAGTAGGGAGTCCTTTTAATTCTAGCAGCAACCACACAAGGTGTGTATTTTCATCCTCATTTACTGATGATAAACTAATGAATCTGAGGATATAAGTAACTTTCATGGTCAAAAAACTCCCCTATAATCTCCAATTATTTGTTCAATTGGTTTAATTTCACCTTGAACCACATGCTCTGGGCCTACTCAGGTTTTCAGCTGAAGCTGTGGTGGACAGTTCCTATGCAGTCTTGGATACTGTTGAATTTCACTTCAAGCTCAGCTTTCCCCACTTTCTTTGGTTTTCTGCTTCTAGTAGTTTTTCCTGAAGTCAAGAAATTTATTTAGCCATGGGAAGGCAGCCTAAAAGGATGGGAGGAGTTAGTGTTCCTAAGAGAAATTCTCCAGGAAAGAGTGACAAGTTAGTGGATTGAGGTGTCAGCATCCTGGTTTACAGAGGAAGGACTCCAAGGAGCTTTCCACAGGGTTCTAAGAGGTCTCCAGTAGAATTCAGCCCCAGTTGCCTACAATAATAAGTGGCTCAAAAATACACCCTTTAGTTAGTGTCTCCTTATTTCCTAACATATTCTCCCAATTCTTCCCTCCTGTATCCCAAGACCCCTCCCAAATGACCTGTCCTCAAGTTATTATTTTAGACTTCATTTCAAGGGAATCCAAGGGAAGACAACCTGTATGGGCACTTGTGCCAATTTGTGCAGTTCTGTGATTTGACTCTTCAGTTACCCTCTTACTCTAAACACTCTTAACCTACCAACTTTCTGAAAGAATCAACCCCAATAAATTCAAATGTCCAAGTTATTTTTTGTTACTAGAAAAAAAAGTTAATTTTCCTAGAGAAAACTATATTTGTATTATTGTAAATTTATGATCACCAACTTCATCTTACATCCTTAAACTATACTGTTTTCCTCAAATTCTTGGTATTATGACTTCTGTTCTTGCTCTCAGATAACTTTGCTTCCTACAGGGAAAACACAAGCTATCATGAATGCCTTCTACCAATGCCATGAAATCTACAAATTCACTTATATAATACCATCCTTTCTTCTGTTCTTATACATGAAAGAATTGTTCCATATTGTTTAATCCTAATCCCTCACTCTGTGCTTC